TAAATTTTCCATTATTTTTTTTTAAATCCTCATTACAAAATCAATAATAATAAGTAGATATAAAAAGAAAAAAAATATACCCTTTTTTTTTAAGATATTATTTCCCAAAATGAAAATATTCCGCTTCGCTTCCTCGTCAACTTTGAGAAATTATTTATTTATTTATTTATTTATTTTTGGGACACGCCAGAGAAAAAATATCGACGTACACTGACGTGACTAAAATCATAAACATATTTTATGTATGACCAAAGATAGACGTTCGTTTTAAAGATGGAATAAATATATAAGTAGAGATGTGTATTATTCCATCTCATTCTAATCTTTTCTCTGCTTTGTTTTGATTTTTCCAAAATATTTAAGCGCTAGGTTTGTATTGAAACATGATTCATTTTATTTGACATAGCAGGAATTATTATTAATGACATGTTCCTCATATTCGCGTGGAGATTTCTAAAGATGATGCTATGATAGTAATCACAGCTTTGTTTTATCTACTACTATCGATCACATATATATATATAAATAAATATTTATATATATATATATATATATATATATATATATATATATATATATATACAAACAATTCAGGAATAAAGATAGATTCGTTAGGTAATTATTTACATGCATAAATATGTATATATCCTCCTTACATATTTATGTATTATATCTATCACGTATATATATATATATATATATATATATATATATATATATATATATATATATATATATGTGTGTGTGAGAGAGAGAGAGAGAGGTGTGTGTGTGTGTGCATGTGTCCGTGTGTGCGCGTGTTTGTGCGTCTTGTTAGAAAGTTCATTTATGTATGCTTAAATTTTGTTCTTTCCCTTACTTTTTTATTACACACACACACACACACACACACACACACATATATATATGTGTGTGTGTGTGTGTGTGTATGTATGCATGTATGTATGTAAATATAAATTGAAGTGTGTTTGTGTGTCCGTTTCTGTACAGTTTACAATGCGTTACTTCTGTAACATTGTACTAATAAGAACAGACTTTTCTCTTTGTCTATCAATTTTTCTCTTTTAAACACACATTCTCTCTCACTCACTCTGTCTGATACTTTCTATTTCTGTCTCTGTCTCTCTCCCTCTCTCTCTCTCTCTATATATATATATATTTAATATATCTATCATGTAGTGTAAATATGCAGGCATGCATCTGTATTTTTTTGCCTATCTTTCCCACTCCGATATATATATATATATATATATATATATATATATATATATATATAATTTTTTGTCTGCGTGTGCGTTTTTTTTTTTGTGTGTGTGTGCGTTTGCGTGCTGTGTTGGGAGTACGCGCTCACGCGTCTGTGTATGAGTGTGTGTAGGTGTGTGGGTGTACATTTGCGTGTAGGTGTTGTTTTCCGTCTAAGCAAATTAAGGAATGAATCTTATATCTTCAAGTTAAAATAGCAAACTGATCAATCTTTGATCGTTCGCTGCACTCGTTTGCACGGCCTCTCGCCTGTCAATACACACGCACGAACACGTGCACACACACACACACACACACACACACACACACACACACACACATATATATATATATATATATATATATATATGTGTGTGTGTGTGTGTGTACGTACTATTTTACACTATCGTTATAATCAACACGTTTATAAGGGACTTTACTAAATTTTCACTAAATCGTAAGTGACTTCTCTATTGTCGTCAGTCTGGATAAGGAATTGAAGGAAAGGAATAGAAAAAAAAAGCAGCATGTAAAAAGTATACAAAACGGACTACTTATTACATTATTTTGTACTGTATTCACTAACTCTCCTAATTGTACCACTTTAGTTACATTAAACTGTCTTTCTTTTCTGTTTATTAGAACAAAGCATAAGTAATTAAGCACTCACTTCAGCATCCCAATATTAATTCTTGCACAAAAATTAAGTAACTTGAATACTGGACAAAATCCTAAATTAGCTATAAAAGTGGTAGTTATATCTCTCCCTATCGTTAAATATGGCAGACAATAATTCTTTAGTTCTCCAGCGTTCGTACGTTTTTCTATTTGTTGGAAGTAAGAGACTACAAAGATTTTCTATAATATCCATTGTCCCAAGCGGTTTCGGCCAGTCTTCTGCCATTTTCAAACGCGTTTCATTTTAGGTGTTTTTCGTTTTACTTCTTGTTTTGATGTATTTTATTTTTGTGTTGATCTGAATACTTGAAGGAGAGTTTATTTCGAACGTGTTTGTATTCTCTTACTCCCAACGAACGGAAAATGGGAGAACGCTGGAAAAAATAAATAAAAAATTAATTAAATTTTCCTTGTCTACCATATTTAAAAAGAAAACTATATATATATATATATATATATATATATATATATATATATATATATATTAAGCAGTATACATAATATCTTACATTAATTGCACGACTCGGAGTTTCATGCCGAAACAATTTTTTAAATGCTAGAATTATAATTTTATAATTTATTATAGTGCTAAAATTATAATCTTATAATTACAGCACTTGAAAATTGCTTCGGCATGAAACTCCGAGCTGTGCAATTAATGTAAGATATATATATATATATATATATATATATATATATATATATATATATATATATATATATAAATAGCTCTGTTAATTTACATTGAGTACTGCTTTTCTTGCACTATAGAGTATTTATGTTTTTGTATACGATCGCTCGCGCATATACTTATATATACGTATATTTACCCATTCGGTTAAATATATATATATATATATATATATATATATATATATATATATATATATATATATATATATATGGGATAGATAGATAGATAGATAGATAGATAGATAGATAGATAGATAGATAGATAGATAGATTAATTAGGTATCAAGATTTCATCTAAGTAAGATTTATTTAATCCGAAATATTCAAATAAAATTTCAATATTCAAATAAAGAATCATCCAAAGAAGTTTTATTCAATTTCACCGACAAGATATGTATATTTAATGTTTTATTATATCTTTCCAATTTTCGACTCCGGTGTTATATATCTGGATCGAAGTTAGGAATAAATTGTCCAAAGTTCTTGTTTTTTCTTTTCTTATATTTAAGTATTTTCGACTTTCGTAGCCATTTTCAAAACAGATGTTATCTTGATGGTAAGCAAGATTTAATTGACTAGATTCTGTGATTTTAGATTGTACGAATTAAATTGGACTACTTAAATATATTATTGATTTTTTGTTTAACGACACATCAAATACTTACGGTTCATTTAATGCAGAAATTCAATTTACTTGGGCTCTTTGAAGTAATAAAAAATATTATATATGTTATTCTGCTTTCACAGTAGAATACATGGTAGATGGTAGCATGTTTGCGTGGTCAAAATTACTAGAGGTTGCGATATGTGTTGTAATTTTGTTGATATATTTTAGAATACAGTTTGGTTTCTTTAAGAAATTGTAGGATATTATATTGATTAATGTCATAAAAGAGTTCTTTCATTTCGGTTGTTTGGTAGTACTATAAATATGCGTCGCTGGTAATTTTACTATAAATAGGTACTGTTAGTAATTTTACTATAAATAAGTAGTTTTGTAACTTCACCATAAATATGTATTGCTTGTAATCTCTTTATGCAAAAATGTATTGCCGGTCATTTCCCTACAAAAATGTTCTACACCTTCATAGTGTTTTGTCTTTGTTTGAGGTTTCACTTTGCCGGTACCCTAACAGGATGGCATCGGGAACAACAGCAATTAATAGTTAGTTTTACGCTTTTCAAACCCTCCAATCTCCCGGATGTAGTTTATCGTTTTATCCAGGACTAATTAAGCTACAATGACTACACAAAGAAGTATACAAAATTAATCGTAAATTATTAAGATATTAAATCACGTTTTATAATCAACTTACAAATAAATTTGACAAGTCGTCTTGTGAGCAATTTGTTCAGTAAAGCTTATAGAGAAAAGCTTTCGGTCTTTGCTATCTTATCTCGCTCGAACATTTCCGACTGAGTAGTGAATTCGATTCTCACTAGGTACTTCATATTTATGCTATATCTAAGTTACGTTTAGTAAACAGATAAGTGCATAAAAACAAGCTATACATTGAGAACTGTCAATGAAAATATCTTATACGCTCTTTCATTGATTCTGTTGCATCTATCTACCTACATGCAAATATTCATATTCTAGCCTTAGTAATTCTTTCTATTTTTTTTTTTTTTTGCATTTTAAGACAATTAAGATCAAAGAATTGCTAATATTATCCTTATATATAAGTATTTTATTTATGCTTAAATGAACAATAAGTTTTTGATATATAAATCTCAACTTAGAGAACACTGAGGACACGCATATTCACTCACTCATCGCGTTATATGGATGCATGCGTTTACAAAAGCACATGTATATATGTGCATGTGGCCCAGCATATGCATTATTCATTAGCTTATTGTTATAAATATATAAAATAAACAACATTGCACTTTCAAAAGACTTACATTTTTGCACTGAAATATGCATTTATATGCACATGCATTAACACGCTAATACGTAAGTAAAATCATAGAAATACACTCACATATACATGCACAATTATATAGATACATATATAAGTATGTCACAGCAAAGATTCTCTCGATTTTTTTTTTTGTACCTTACACAATATATATATATATATATATATATATATATATATATATATATATATATATATATATATATATATATATATATATATATAAATTCAATAATATAGTAATATATATTTAAGCAATATATATACATATATAAATTCAATAATATAGTAATATATATTTGAGCAATATATATATATATTGCTTAAATATATATTACTATATTATTGAATATATATATATTACTATATTATTGAATATATATATATATATATTACTATATTATTGAATAAATATATATATATATATATATATATATATATATATATATATATATATATATATGTATACAGGTGTGATATGTAAATTGTCGCCATTTTATATCTTTTATTTCGCTCATGCGCGTTGTTTGTTTTGGGTTTTGTTGACTGCACAGTAGAGTAGGGTCAAGCACCATGATGCAATTCGCTCCACCAGAAATTTGGAAACAGCATGCAGTACTGTTTGACATTCGCGCCGAAAGCTTTAATATAAACACTTCAGAGTGTTGGGTGTCAATCTGAGGAGAGTGCAGAGCATTCGGATAGAGTTGGATAAGTCTAATGATGATTTCTGATAAGAAAAAGACTTCCGAATTTTTTGGTATGGGCCTCAGTCTCAACACGGAAGCCTACATCAAGTTCCTTGAGGTTGTGGTGCAGCCCAGGATCAAGAGGGTGGTTGCTAGAAGACCATATGTTTGGCAACAGGATTCTGCGCACTGCCACACAAGCTGGAGAAAACAGTCATAGTTTCAGACAATTTCTGCGACTACAACAATTCTTAAAACTCCCTTGATTATTATGTATGGGGGGCACAGTTGAGCGAGATACCAACAAATCTCCTTTTAACACCACAGATGTGATGAAGGCAATGATTATGGCAGCATTCACCAACTTAAACAACGAAATCGGCTAGAGGTGATACAGGAGTTTACGATGTCGCCCGGAGGCTGTGGTTGAAGCCAATGGCGATTTTTTTTTAATTAATTTAGTCTTTCGTATTTCATAATTTTGTTTAATTTGGTAAATATATCTGTTAAATTGAGATTTCATTGTTATTTTCAGTTTTGCGTAATTCAGACGACAATTTATCCATCGCAAATGCAGAATTATCACATCAATTTAAGTGGATGAAGATTCATTTCTTTTTAAATTTAATGCGTTAGATGACCCGTACACGTTCGTGTAGAACTAGTCACTCTCTTCATAAAAACGGATAACAGTTTTATTATCACCGAAATAGTGGAAATCTCATGTATATAACCCATTATAAGCACACGGTCCCAAAAATAGGACGGTGGCCTTTAATGTTTTATAGGAAGAAATTTATAATTATTCATAGAGATAGATAGATAGATAGATAGATAGATAGATAGATGTGGACAGACTAAGAATGATAGATAGATATAGATAGATAGATAGATAGATAGATAGATAGATGGACAGACAGAATGATAGAATTATAGATAGATAGATAGATAGATAGATAGATGTGGACAGATAAGATTATAGATAGATAGATAGATAGATAGATAGATAGATAGATGATGGGACAGACTAAGAATGATAGATAGATAGATAGATAGATAGATAGATAGATAGATAGATGTGGACAGACTAGAATTAAGAATAGATAATGATAGATAGATAGATAGATAGATAGATAGATAGATAGATGTGGACAGACTAAGAATTATAGATAGATAGATAGATAGATAGATAGATAGATAGATAGATAGATAGATGTGGACAGACTAAGAATGATAGATAGATAGATAGATAAGTGATGAACATAGATGCATACATAGATAGATTGAGAATATCCGAATCAACACTGTATGCGGACTATTGTTATATATATGAACCTATGATTAATACGGTTGGATGTGCGTCATGGCGTGATAGATAAAGGCTAAGAATGAGAAATCGAAGAGCTGAGTTTGAATTTCAGTCGGGTTCTTTATAGTCATTTAGGAGCACATGGGAAAAAGTATGAATCTATCTCTTCTCCTCCAGCCTTGGTTGGCAGCCAGTCTACCGTAGAAATAAACGGTAAGCCAGCTGCGGGTAAATCTTCAACCTCGTCAGTCATGAATCGAAAGAGACATGATCGGCCAAGCGTGTATCACGTATGGCACTTAAATGAAATAATACCGGTTTATTTATTTCGTCTCCAGAATTAATAATGGATTTTACGATAGGCATTTAAGGATTAAACATGACACTCTTCTGAAAGACAGTTTGAATTCAGAGCTTTTCTTCTTATAGACTAGCTCCTACAAAAATTATGAGAGATCGTCCTGGCATGCTATTTAACCCATAGATTAATGGAGTTGCATTAATCACCTTTTCCAAGGAAATCAAAGCAAGATGTTCGAATCAAAATCAACCGAAATTTGAACCCATCTCTTCGATTTCTCATTCCAGCCTGATAACTGTTACGCTACCCGCATATATATGTGCGTGTGTGGGCACCTCGACGTGGTGTAATGGTTAGAAAGCTTGTCTCGCTAGAACAATTACGACTGAGTTGTGAGTTCGATTCTCACTGGGTGCCCCATACTTTCGGCCTTGTGCCACATCTAAGCCTGGCTTAGAAAATCACTGTGTGTGTGTGTGTGTGTGTGTGTGTGTGTGTGTGTGTGTACAAGGTGTCCACAAAGTCATTAGCCAAATAGAAAATTGATTAAAATTACAACATAAACGAGATACTATTGAAAGGTTTATATAATATGAAGTAAATAGTGAAGTTTATATACAAAAAGTTAATAAATATCTATATGGACTCCATGCATTTGTGGAAGAAAATACTAACAGATATTCAGTTCTTTAATTCTAGTAATACTTTAGTTTTAGTCTGAAACGTAGAAAACATAACATTAATAAAATTATTTATATCATTAAAAGAATTTTAATAATAACATATTAATAAGCAACAAATATTTAGTTACCACTGCTTCTAAGTTATTTCCGTAATAACTTTTTGAAATTGTCAGATTTTGTTCACACCATATATATATATATATATATATATATATATATATATATAAAATGACAATAGGAAAACTGGTAATTGCTGACGCGTTTCGTCCAATGTGGACTTTATCAAAGCAAAATATTTAAATGAAAACGAAAATGAAATTAATTTCATTTTCGTATTTTGCTTTGATAAAGTCCACATTGGACGAAACGCGTCAGAAATTACCAGTTTTCCTATTGTCATTTTTATTCATAAATATTGTCTTTTCTACTGGTTAAATCGGAGAAATTTTCATATACATATATATATATATATATATGAAGTCACGCACCACAGATATAATTTATTAGAAGTATAATTGCACATGAAAATTTTATTTACTAGTCGTTGGTATGTGCTGTTCAAAAATTCGTCCTTCTTTTTAAAAACACTTCAATTCTGTGCCTGTTTGATTCATTAACATGTCCGAGAGTCACCTCTGTCATTTTACTGCATTCATATTTAATTCTTTCTTTAAGTTCCTCAATGTTTCTTGGCTGCGTATGATAAACAATAGAATTCAAGTGGGCCCACAGGAAAATAATAATCAAAGGCTGTGTCGTCTGGTGGTCTCATAAACCTATCTATTAAACATTATGGTGCGTCAGCTTGCCTCACAATGCATATATATATAGAGAGAGAGCGAGGAGAGAGGGAGATAGTTATAGTATGTTTAGTTTAGCGGGTGGGGAGGGCGCAGAAACAGAATTTAATGATGTAGTTGCGAAAATGATCAATTAATGTCAGTAAATTAACTTACTAAATCAACTAACAAACTTTGTAATTAGTATTACAAATTTGTACTAAAGTTTATAGAGGGTGCGCCATAAATATATGTGGGAGGTATTTCTGCCATACCCTGTATATTGTTTAGATAGAATGCATTTATAGATTCTCATTTATCGATATGCAGATGTATGACCGTACGCACAAAACACCCATACGCGTACACAGATACGCACGCACACGCACGCACACACACATATATATGTGTGTGTGTGTGTGTGTGTGTGTGTGTGTGTGTGTTTTGTCGCTTAAAAGATTTTCGCCGAAGAATGTAAGAAAGACAAAATTGAATAAATAATTGCATATAAACATATATATATATATCAAAGTATATAATTGGTATACACGGAATGAATTCCAATAACCAACAATTACTATTCTTAAAAGAGTGCTCAATACAAAGTAGAGCAGATATAATTATTTTTATTAAAAAATTATAACATTATAAATGGCTATTTTGTAGTGATTTTATAACATACTTATGTTATAAAATTTTATAAAAAATAATTATATATATATATATATATATATATATATATATATATATATATATATATATATATATATGAAAAGTGTGTGTATATAAATATAAATAAATATATATATATAATTATTTATATATAATATGCGCGGTACTTATTAGAAATCGCTCAATATCAGAGATAGAGATAACATATATTAATCAGTTTGTCTGACGATCGCAAAAGCGTGAAAACCAGGGTCACAAACTCACATCAATCCAACCAAATATATATATATATATATATATATATATATATATATATATATATATGCATGTATGTGTGTGTGTGTGTGTGCGCGCGCGTTAATCAGTTCACCTCAAGAAAGGTGATAATGCCACTAGGACGCAAGGTGGTACTGGGAGCGGAAAAGAATGAGAAAACCCAAGAAGAAACCAAGAAAACAATTCTAAACAGGAAAGAGGGAATAAACATCTACTCCTGTTCAAAAAACAGGAGAGGAGCGTAAACAGGACGATATAAGAACTTATCGACTCTTGAGCAAAAAAAAAAACAACAAATAAATAGTAAATCAAATTTCAGATTTTAGGTGAAGACATTAGAAGTTGAAGTAGACATGTAATTGAACCGGAAAATAAATTCTAAACAATATAATATATATATATATATATATATATATATATATATATATATATATATATATATATATATATATATATGAATCTCGTGCCAAGCAAGGTGAGAAACCCACTATGTTGCAGAAAGACAAAGAAACTGAGTTTAATAAGCATCTTTATGTGAGGCTTGTTTAATCGCATTTTCTATGTATACGCGCGCGCACGCACACACACACACACACACACACACACATATATATATATATATATATATGTATGTGTGTGTGCGCGGGTGTGTGTAGAGAGAGAGATGGACATAGATAGATAGATAGATAGATAGATAGATAGATAGATAGATAGATAGATAGATAGATAAGGGATGAACATACATAGATACATACATAGATTGAGAATATCGGAATCAACACTGTATGAGGACTGTTGTTTTCATAACTCGATTTTAAAGTCATGTTTCATGTGTCGAGCAATCTTCATCCCAGTTTGTGTTTAGCCATGTCCGCACTGTTTACATCTGCAAACGTTTGATATTTAGCAGTCTTAACATTTAGCAGATTTTAACAATACACATGCGCACGCACACACTCATACATAAATAAATAAAAAATAAATTAATTAATATATATATATATGTAGCAAATTATTTATATATATGCATACCTTTATATATATATATATATATATATATATATATATATATATATATATATATATATATATATATATATATATATATATATATATATATATATATATATATATTTATAGCCACATTCTTACAAACACACATGAACATATATATTATTGATGAATTCATTGGTGCCTAAATTTATACATACATATATACATACATATATATATATATGTGTGTGTGTGTGTGTGCGTGCGTGTGCGTGAGAGAGAGAAAGAGAGTTAGACATTACTTTTGTCATATTGAGATAGATTTCGCAATTTTGAAGTTATGTATAGTTAGTAATATACCTTTAGCTGTTATATTTATCTAAATATGTGTACCTCTGTCTGTTCAGATATGGATGTGCAGGTGGTGCAATGTAACGGATAGCGGGTCTGAATAAGAAATCGAAGTGCCAGATTCGAATTCCAGTCGTAGCCAGGTATGAATATATTTCCCCCCTTTCTTGGTTCAAATGATAGGACTTGTATGTGGAAAAATTGTTATTCATCGAAAATGATTATTAATGCAATATTCTCTAACAAAATAATGAAATAGTCTTACAATCCTAAATATGTTTTAGACTTAAATATTCCAAAACGGAGGACAAAAAGAAAAAATAAATCATTCAATCACAAAATGTTTCGTATACATACACACACACACATCTATATATATATATATATATATATATATATATATATATATATATATATATAATTTATTTGTTTACACATTATTTTAAATGAATACTCATATTTGAGTAGATACTCTGTTTTCCATTTCCTAATAGACACATACATACATACATATATATATATATATATATATATATATATATATATATATATATATACACATACATATATATCTGTGTGTGCCTGTGTCTGTATGTGTGTATACTATATATGTATATGTGTACTACATATATATATATATATATATATATATGTGTGTGTGTGTGTGTGTGTGTGTGTGTGTATTACATATATATGTGCATGTGTGTGTGCGTGCGTAAACACAAATCCGGTAAATATTCGCTATTTTTTGTTTGCCTCGTTAATAAGTTTCTCTTGCTAATTTCTATAAGAAATTCCTCAGATTAATGAACATTTCATTTCTTCCAGTTTCATATTTTCCCTATTTAAGCTCAGGTTTTTCAACGCATTTCATCTTTCGTTTTAGTCTGTATGTATGCATATGTTTGAGCGTCCGTGCTTGCCTGCTTGTATATGACTCTATATGTCAGTTTTTATATATGAGCGTGTGTTTGTGCTCGCGTACGTACATAAACACACATAATCATATACGCGTAAATGGAAAACGAGGACTGAATTCACGGAATCCCAAAAAAGACTTTCTTTTTACATTGATTTTCATCATGTAAAAGTCCCAAGAGCCACTCGCGGTAGAGGTTTCCAGAATAAGAGATACAGTTTATGCGGCTATGTGGGAAAGATAACAGTTGACTCTTGACTTGAACAGGCTAAGATTGTAGAGATCGGAAAGCCATCATTTTGGGAGTCATTTCTACAAAGCAGCGATTACTGTTTTTGTTCAAGACACAGCAGCTTCCATCAGAGAGGCATGAATTCTCTTCTCCCTGCGTTTTTTTTTTCATATCTCCACGTTCAAAAATATGGCTGAGCGATCAAACCACTCTCCTTTGATTAACAGACCCAAATAACAACATTATCAAACTGGTGCTTACGTTTTATGCCTGGACAGAATTCAATCAAGACAATTGAAATTAAGAGTTTTCAGGCCAGCTAAATGCCTGTGATATTTGCCTATGTCAAGATTTTCAATGCTTAATTTCAGAACTGTCAACGTCAGACTTCTGAGTAAATGTTACACAATTTTTATTTACTCCATCTTCCTGCCTCAATATGGCTTCAACTAATATATATCTATTCATATATTTCAGTAGGACATGTATTTATTTATAACCTTTTATATCATATTTTGGCCTAATATGAGATAACGCCTCATAGATTTACCAGTGATGTTTCTACATGTATGCATTGGTTAAAACTAAATTCTCTTAAGCTGTTCTTTTTTGTTTCCTTAATAAAAGAAATTAAATTAAAAATAATCACGCAAATGTTCAGAATAAACGCTTATACGACACACAAAAAAAAAACAAAAAAAAAACACATCTCAAATTGTCAAAACATGAACAGAAACTAAAACCAAAACACCTCCATCATGAAAATGGCTAAGGAAGTGGCCGAAAGCATTTGAAAGGATGGACGGTAAGGATAGTTTTTGTACTCCCACAATGTTATTACGCTGTAAAAACTAAATAACAAAATTAATAAAAGTATCCTTCTTCGTCATATTGTCATATTTAACGAACATAAAGGTCGCTGCCCAAATATGCATCATATATATATATATATATATATATATATATGTGTGTGTGTGTGTGTGTGTGTGTGTGTTTTGTGTGAAAAGTATATATATATATATATATATATATATATATATATATATATATATGTGTGTGTGTGTGTGTGTGTGTGAAAATATATAGAAAATAGAAAGGAACTGGTTAGGTAAATAATCCAAAGTCCCTTAGTATTTTAGTTATTATTTTTTAAAAAAATAGTGCTCGATACAAAAGTAGAGCATAAATAAAATTATTTATTTAAAAATATGATTCCAAAACGCTACATAAGAAGTCTCATGTTTCAAAACAAGAGCCGAAAACTTCAATAAAATTATTTAAATTAAATTGAGTCAAATAAGTTTGTTCCATCTTCAAGCGAAATTTTTTTTTTCGCTTGAAGATGGAACAGAGCTTATTTTAACACAATTTAATTTAAATAATTATATTGAAGTTTTCGGCTCTTGTTTTGAAACATGAGACTTATGTAGTGTTTTGGAATCATATTTTTAAATGAATTATATATATATATATATATATATATATATATATATATATATATATGTATGTATGTATGTATAATTTTTTATATATTATATGGGTAGTACTTATGAGAAAGTGCTCAATATCAGTGATAGAGCTAACATATTTAGTTGGATTGATGCGAGTTTGTGACCCTGGTTTTCACGCATTTGCGATAAATGTTTAATGGCTAGTTTTTAAGTAGATACACATATCTGAACAAATGCTCTGTTTTTATTTATTAAACGGTACATGTTCTTTACTTATTTACAACTACCGACCTTAATATTCGAGAAACCTTCTTAGAAAAGTATTAGTTCCATTTCATACTCAAGGAAAATTCGCTTGAGGATGAAATGGAACTAATGTCTTTAATTTAATCACAAAATTAAATTCGGAGCTTTCAGCTTCCATTTTTGAAACATGCTTAGAACTGTGTAGCGAAAAAAAACATATTTTAAATCAATTAATTTATAATATTAATGCTCTGTAAATTTACATTGAGCTCTATTTTTTAAAAATAAAATATCTATAAGAACACCGGATTATATTTACTGTTCTTTCTATATATATATATATATATATATATATATATATATATATATATATATATACACGGTGATCTAAAAGTAACTCACCATTCTAAAATACTTATAATTTATTTATTAACTATAATTTTTACAAGAGAGGAAAGCTTTTAGCATCAAGTTTTTTTTTTTTTAAATTTGAGATTTCGCTATCAGCTTCTTAAGACACTCAGGAATCGCATCAACTGGTTTCACCAGGAACTTTTTAGATGTGGAAGACATAACTTCTTGTATTCTCCCTTCAGGTTCTTCCAAAGTCTTGGTTTGCTATAGCAGACTTGCTCCCTTAACCAAGCCAAAAAAAAAAAGTCATAGTCTTAATTTAGGGCTCTTGGTTGGCCCCTTACACATGAAATAGGGAGTTAATTTTTACTCATCCGGGGTATGGGTAAACGATATATAATTTTTTTTATATATCAAGAATAATTTTATGAGAAATACGTATGACGAAGTGGAAAAAAGATTTTCCACACACACACACACACACACACACACACACATATATATATATATATAATGATAACTCAAAAAACCTTAAAAATCCATATCGATTATAATTATAATTTATTTCATGAATATTGTTATATTCATCTCTTCAGACCGAAAGTTTTTATAAAAAATTTTTTAAAGGTTTTAGTTGATTAAAGGTTTTAGTTGATTAAAGGTTTTTATATTGTCTGTAACATTAAGCTCTTTTGGATTAATGTCCTCCTTGGAACTATCCCTACCAATAAAAATTTGTATATTATATATATATATATATATATATATATATATATATATATATATATATATATATATACTATGAAGTATAATCAACTATCATAAAATTCTTCAAATTATTTTGTTAAATTCAACTGACAAGATAAGCGTCGTGTTTAATATTTTATCCTGTTTTACTCTTTTTACTCTCGGTGAGTTTTAAGTTGCTTTAACCGTTATGAACTTTAAACTTTAACATGATATCATTTTGGGTGGTTTCAGTATGAAAAGATGGGAATATCTTGTCTAACAAACCAGCAACAACCAAAGTTTTATAATGAATGAGACGATCAGAAGACAAACAAAACATGAACCTGGGACATTTTATTCAAAATATTGATCCCGATGTACACCATCTTATTGGGAAATTGGCAAAATGTACAAAAAATAGAAAAAAACTTGCGGGTGGAATTTAACAAAGCAGTTATGGTCAGGGACAAGTTCACAT